AGCTTGTAAAGAAGTCTCACACTTGAGGGAAGGCTCATACTTGTCAAAGATGATAACTTTATGGATCTAGAGGCCAAAGGGAGTCCAGATCTGAAGTTACAACTTCAGATCTTGGCTTAAACACAAGAAACATTTCCTAAAACCCACCCAAAAGAGATTAAAGATGAAATGAGCCAAGGAAACAGCCTAATACCTTCAAGAGAGTGTTAACTGAAGTAAACCTTTGCTTCCCTACGAGTTCCTTGCTTCAATTTACTTGTTTCCCCAAGAGTTTCCTCACCAAGATCCCTCTTCCAAGCTTTAACACACCAAAGAAACACACACACACACGATTTAGGGTTTAAGGGTGTCAAGAAGCTGTAAAGGGGAGGCTGGGGGAGGCCAATGATCCTTTAAATAGGGTGCAAAACCCCAGAATTTAGGGTTCCATCTGCCAGCTCCTACTCGTCGAGTCCCTTCTTGGACTCGGCGAGTAGGTCACCAAAACACGTGGACCAACCCGCTGCTACTCGACGAGTAGGGCAACCAACTCGTTGAGTAGGCCTTGAAATCAAGAAAATCTTATAAAAATCAATACCTGATAATCGGGGCGTTACAAATCACAAACTACATCAATGTTGAAATAACAATTCAACCCACAGTCTCTTGAAGTCACACTTTTCTAACTCCTGTTAGTCGATACTACTACTCGATACTGATACGACTAAACTATAAATCTTTTGGCTATTTGATAAATAACTCAATCGATTTCATAACATTTATGATTAATACCTACATACATAGTTGGTGTTGTTTTGGTTTTATATTTTACGGATGGTCGTGTATGGAGCTTCACACACAATTTAGGTAATCAATCGTATATAATAAATCTTCCGTTTCATGAGCCTTAAAAATATGACCGTTGAGATTAACTTGAACTTTATATTCAAAACATTTTACAAAATATTATAGCCGTTATAGCAAAGCACATGAACTTTATATTCAAAACATGTTACAAAATATTATAGCCGTTATAGCAAAGACGTTTTAAACATTATAAATAGACCGGATGAATGTATGTAAGTATGCCACACATCTTAAAACTCGAAAAATGCATTACGACAATAACAGATACATCTTCTCAATATTGCTTCGAAATGTCGGTTCAAATCAAACAATCTACTTCACTATGTTAAGTGTTCATAACATTTCAATTGTAAGTTTCTTCATGATTTTTATGATTTATATGTTTTTAAAGTCAATTACTCTGAAATCTATACTTAGTATCAAAATAAAATAAAAGATACAAATAAATGTCTAATGTGTAGTGTAGCCACATTCACGATACTACATATTTAATCATATTCATAATTTCATATAAATTATCCTGGTATTAATTTTAGACAAAATTATATAAATGGTATGTGGTTTTTCTTAGTCTGTGTGCTAATTTACAAACATGCTCCATGTGGTTTTTAAGCGATTTCATTTTGTTAAAAATTTAATCTGAAATTATTATTATACCCTTTTTTTTCATTGTTGCTAATGATTATACAAATATGGTGGATCTTGGATCCTTGTTAGGTATGTTAAATAAACTCCAATTGTTCAAAGGAAACATAGCATTTTTGCCTTTTTTTTTGTTTATTGAAGAACGAAAAGTATTGGAGGATGGTTGTGATCATCTGTTTAATGTAAATCTGAATCAAATAGGTCGGCTACAACTTCAGTTGCAGACCATACGAAATTGATTCGGCTCTAAAGCTTTTAGCATTAGCTGATGGTTCTGAATCCAGGGAAAAAGATGATTCCGTTATATATTTCATGGAATCCATTGTTCAATGGGCGGGCCGACTTCAATACAAAACCTTCATCTCTGATGAATCCGATTCACGACGAAGACTGTTCCAAAATGCACATTTTCTGTCTTCATCTTTGCTCGTGAAGTTGAGCAACGTCTCCAGTCAGTAGGCGGAGTTCATATGTTGCTCCTCTGTCATCAAGGTACCCTATAATCAAAAACCCATTTGTGTTGATGACGCCGCTGGTCATGGTGGCAGTGAAATGAAGCTCACATACACAACGTCACCTTTATCAATGTCGAGACCGGAGATGAATGAAGCTAATTGTAGACAACAACGAAAGGTATCGATCTGTGTGTAGGTGAGATTGTCGTAGACGAGTGAAGGAGAATCAACAAATACGTTGGTTGCTCTTTCGAGGAAGCCAAGAGGTGAAAGAGGGCTTGATTTTGCTTCATTGGGATTCCTTAATGCTTCCATTTTTTTTTTTCTTATTGCTAGTTGGAGATGTGATTTTTTGAAACCTGGTAAAAAGAATTTAAAGTAGTCAATGATTTTTACTTTTTCCTCTTAAAGTTAATTTAGTGTAATGATTTATTGAGGGTGATATACGGTGGGGGGAGGTACAGGGGATTTTTTTTTTTAAATTGAAATGAGTTGTTAAGAAAAAAGATACTTAAAAAGGGTATCTAGTTTATTTTAAACGGTTTAAGGACCAAGTATGAAAAATTTTGAAACAATAGGGACCATGTTCTTCAAAAAAAAATTAGAAGGAGGACTTTTGATAAGCCATAGGGAGCATTTATCTAATTTTGTCTTGACAAAACTACAAAAATGGTCCCTGTGGTATATATTTTTTCTGAGTTTTAGTCTAAACCTCGACTTTTTTGGCTCCATGGTCCCTTTGAGCTTGTTTCGTTGCAGATTTTGTCCCTCAGCAAACTAAAATGACTTTAATACCCTTTGATTATTTATTTTTCATTTTTCTTTCATTTTTTTAAAATTTAATAGTTATTTATTTATTTTAATAATTAAAAAAAGAGGGGTCCATCCCTCCCTCTCTCTCTATTTTCTCTCTCTCTCTCTCTCTCTCTCTAACAAAACACACACACATACACTAAAATACACAAAGACTCCCATTGGAAGTTGCAACCGAAGAACAAACCCATCATCAAAATACACACACAAACACATATCGATGACCACTTTAATGAATGTGGCTTTAGAGTTGTCAACAGATATGGTCAAGAAATCCCCATCCTTAAACATCGTTCCATCACTGACGACCATCAGAAGCGATAGAGAACAAAACAATCCACCACCAGCACCACTAGTGGTGGTGACCCAAGCCAGTAGATTGTCCGCCATTAACACTTCTTCTCTTAAACCCATCATTATCTGGATATTAGTAATGGAAGGTCACATGCAAATAAACCACATATGTAACATCTGTAAAATTTTTGAAAAATTTAAACTTTTTAAAACATCCTAAATCATTATTGTTTACAAATTGTTTTCAAAATAATGTTCACATCAGAGTTATCCCAAAATCATGTAGTAAGAACAAGAGGAAGTGCACGATCACGCATTCGCCTTCCCGCGATCATCCGAATTACCTGAAACAAAATCCACAACTGTAATCTCGAAGGCTTAGTGAGTTACCCCCAATATACTAATACATAACAAACAATACACATAATAATAATAACAACATGTAATGGGTCCACAGCTCTACAGATTGGATTACCCCTGAGCCCACAGTATGAGTCCGGCTTGCCCTCCCTGACCCTCAGCTCATATATGGCTTGCTCTCGAGCCCACAACATAAGTCTGGCTTGCCCTCGGGCCCACAACTTATGTCTGACTTGCTCCTTCAGTCCTCGGACTGGAATACAAATGATTAGCCCTCAGTACGAGTTTGACATGTTCTCCATGTCCCTCAGCTCACATTTGGAATGCCCATGAGTCCTCAGTATGAGTTTGGCATGCCCTCCCTGGCCCTCAGCTCATATCTGGCATACTCCAGGGTTTGTTGGCCATCGCACGGAGCAGTACAACCTCAACCCAACCAACACAACATGTCGACATGTAACAGATAAGTGCACATACAGATAATCAGATAGTATCACAGCTAGCCCTATAGATCTACCAAACTGGCATATCAAACTAGCATGCATATCTAACTCATACTCAGCATATCAATAACTACTAGGATATCAAATCCAATGGGCCGACCTTGGTGCCTTAGACCCCTTAGTATAGTGAGGAGAACTCACCTCACAAGTAGCAGTGGCTGACAAGCTCCAACTCTCGAATCACCGCTCCAAACTCAACCGCCTACAACCACCATGTGACTAACTTCATTAAAACCTAAATTACCAAAATACCCTCAGAAGTCAAAATTGGTCAACCATGGTCAAAGTCAAAGTCAACAGTCAAGGTCAACAATCCATGTTAACCCAACTCGTCGAGTTCCTTCAGAACTCAGAAACCGTGAAAACCCGAGTCAACTCGCCGAGTTGTTCAAACAACTCGTCGAGTTCATACAATGTCCAGAAAGTGGGAAAACCTGATTCAACTCGACGAGTTGGCAAGGCAACTCGTCGAGTTCTTCCTAGTCTTAACACATTCAGCCCTTTCCCGTCGAATCCAAAGCTCCAAACTATAGATCTGGTCCCTTAGGACCAAAATACCACGTAAAGTTGCTAACTTTACGTCCATGCATGGCATCAAAGGGGCTAAAACACTCATATGAAGCTTATTATGGGTCTTAGAGCATGAAGGAGGGCCAAGACTTAATAAAGTTGGCAACTTTAAGTCCAAGGAGGCCCTAAGATGCCCAGATCTGAAGTCATAACTTCAAATCATGCTCAACTCCAAAAATATCCCAAGAATGATCTCAAAATGACAATAATTCTCTAATAAGGAGATCTAGCAAGCAAGTGATCAAGGTAACGACTTTTTACCTCCAAATGGTTGCAACAACAGAGAAGCTCCCGGATCTAAGGCCTTCCACTCAATCCAACCTCTTCAAGCTTCTAGTTTCTTCCAAAAGAACACAAAAATCACTCTCTAAAGCTCTCTCTCTCTCTCTCTCACACACATACACAAAAGAAAGTAGCAAGGCACAACTAGGGTTTTCTCTGGACAAGAAGGTGATAAGGGAGGTCGGTGATGGGACTTAAGGTCCTTTAAATAGGGTGCAAACCCTAACAATTAGGGTTTCCATGCAGCACCTTCAACTCGTCGACTTGGGGTCCTCCAACTCATCGAGTAGGTTCTATAATTCACGCGACCTTCTTGGTTTCTACACGACGAGTTGGGGCCTCCAACTCGTCGAGTAGGTCTTATGAAATGCATAAAATCCTTAAAATTTCATACCTGCGAGTCGGGATGTTACAACATACTTACATATACAATATGTTACGTCACTTGTAATCATCTTTTGCTTTGGAAGTTCCTCTATATTTACGATATTATCTATTTTTATGGACTATATATAATGAAATGAAAAAGTGAAGAAAAGCAAGTTTAAGAAACATATCATGAAAATAATGTTCTTATATTGACAAAATATTTGAAGTAACTAATGAATTAAGTAACACAAGTTGAAAAAGTGTAGGAGTTATGTAGTATAAATATTTCAATTAACCAATCTATTAAATTTCATAATATGAAAAGTTGTGAGAGTTTCAAGTGAATATGGTTTAAGATAGATGACTTATCTTGAACCATATTGATTTGGATGGCCTCATTTATAAGATTTATATATATATATA